TGTGTGTGTGTGTGTGTGTGTGTGTGTGTGTGTGTGTGTGTTTTAAAATGCCTTCACTTTTTTTAATTAAAACAACAACAATAATAACAGTAATATAATAATAATAAAATATAATAAAAGAAAAATAATTTCAAAAATGTATAAAATTCTAAATTAACCTTTAAACACAATTTGTGTTTACATTATTACGCTTATTATGCTCATCGGAATGTGTTAATTTTGCAAAATGCATGTGACTTATAAAATGAAACACAAAAGATCCATTTTTGATTACAACGAACGCTTGAATGAATTGATCTGTCAGAGTCGATCCATCCTTCCTTTGGGATCACCGTTCTTCTACTTAAAAGTTTCTTTAGGAGCACCGTGTTCTTATTTAAGAGTTCCTTTAGGACCACCGTCCTCTTATTTAAAAGTTTCTTTAGGACCACCGTCCTCTCGCTCAAAAGTTTTTTTCAGGAACACCATCCTCTTACTCAAGAGTTGCTCTTGTTCAAAAGTTTCTTTATGGAAAAAAAAAAGACACTTAATCTAAAATTGTATTTTTGTACTTTAGACAGACCGAGTTCAAGATTCCGAAAAATATTGTTATTATTTAGATCAAAGAGATAAGTTCTATGACCAACAAATAAAATAAGCACTAGGCTTAGTTTACATTTTCCCTCAGTGTCTCTTCGCTGTCTATAAGATGAATGAAAGAATTTGATTCAAGTTGGATCGTAAATTATTACTCAGGATCCCTTGCTCCTAGAAAATCAATCAAATCAACACTAAACAGCTTTCACGTTACGACTTTATGTATGGTTCAGGTGTGACAGGTATTAGGAGATTTTTTTGCTGATCAGCTGCTAGCGACAATTATTGCTGTAAGAGCAGGATGTAAAGGCAGAGGAGCTAAAGTACGTAAAAAAGCTGTATTGAGTAGTTCGCCATTAGGAGAATAATCAACTGTTTGCGATAGATCCTATCACAGCCTTCGTACTTTTCGACTAGTAGTTCAGACCCTCCTCCTATGTGGGCAAAATACCCAAAGTACCTTAAAGGATTCTATTGAGTTGCTTGTAATCGGGAGAATAGCCATCCATTTGTAACTAAATTTTTCAACTCCTTTCAACAATAAGTCCTATCATTGTGCTTTCAAGTAGAAGCTGTAGACCCTCCCATGCGGGCATTAGAAGAAATCGATGCTGGCTTTGTGAGAACGACGATTATTGTTATAAGACTAGGATTTAAAGACAATAGACCCAAAGTACGTGAAAAGGCAAAGTACGTCAAATGCTTTCCCATCATGATAATTTCAAGTGTCTGCGGTTTCAACTGATTTCAACAAAAGATCCTGTCAAAGTCACATCATTCTTGTGAAACCGAAGTTGTAGACTCTCTTATGCGGGCATTAGAAGACGTCGTTACTGACTTGGTGAAAGCGACGATTATTGCTATAGTAACAGACTTTAGAGGCAAAAAAAAACCAAAGTACGTAAAATGTCTCTATTGAGTGATTTTCCATCATTAGAATAGTCAAGGTGTGTGACGAAATGTTTCAACTGTTTTCAAACCACAGACTCTATCACAGTCACTGTGCTTTTTGAGTATGAGTTCTAGACTCTCCTCAATAAACGATCCGAGTTTCTCAACAGCTTAACAGATGACCTACGTTCCGCTAATAATTGTATCACACGAAGTTGAACTTAATAACAACAACAACAATAAATTTTGAATACCACTGCCATTTTGTTATAAATTTTTAGCCTTTTTTTGTTTCAAACACCGTTTTGGTTGTAATAAAATAAATTCTAATAAACATTACAGAAAAGAAATAAATATTAAGTGGCGTAACGTTTGAATGTAGGCCGAATATGATTTCATTCTTGTTCCTTTTTCGGTGTATTTATGTTCTTTTTTTTTTTTTCTTCAACTGTAAGTTTAATAGTTTTGAATACCTTTTGATAAATTCATTAAATATTTTGCAATGAGTCAACGAAAACAAAAGACTTAAGACACAAACTTCAAACTTGTTTATGCGTTAGACGGGGACTCTATTCTTACTTCCATAAGTATTTGAATAAATATGCGCATATGCGTTGTTTAATATTTTTAAAAGTGTTTACGTTCATACAAAATACAATCGCATTAACATAAAAGGCTATACCGGAAACCTGATTATTTTTGTTGTTGTATTTATTATTCGTGTTAATGTTTTGTTAAATTTATTTTTATATTATTTACTGTCTATAATTCTCGTTAATTTGTTGTGTGTCACTTGTTGTCTATTTTGTTTTTTTCTTTTTGACATTTTCATTACTGTTTATTGCTTTCTTGTTTTCAATTCTTAACCAATTACTATACTATGGAAGGCGTTCATTATCAGTTAAATTATTTCATTTGTAACACCAAAAAGTATGTTACGATTATACGATAAAATCCATATACTATTTATTAGAGCAAGAAATCAGGAACCGGTCCACGGCTGTCGTTATCGAGTAAGGTCGGTGCTGTGACGAGTGGCGAGTTTATAGCTGTCGATAAGGTATACATTTTTCTCACTCTCGAATGGAAATTCTTTTAATCTCAAATGACGATCGAGTTTTTCGATGTCGACAGTTATAAATCGGTCCAAGATCGTTTCAAATTATTAGCTGCATTCTTGGGAAAATTTCTACCTATTTTAAAGAACTCGAACCCTTGGTAAAGGAATAGTCCAGAAAGATGGCGTAAATGTCACCAGCAGAGTAAAGTGATTCGGATCTTTTTTCTTTCTATTGCTTTATATATATTTGTTTGTTGTTGCTTTATATATAAGAGAGTCAATGCCTACCTATTTATTGCCTTGTCCAATTGAATCATGTCCGCTAACAACCCAAGTTGTAAAGATTTCCAATTTTTATGCCGCCACACGTTCACAATATATTTCGCGTCTCCACAGTTTATCTTCTCTTTTTTTTAGTAGCTTCTTTTAATCAAGCCTTATCAGCAAATCCACATGCACGTTCGAAATTGTAGGATGAAAAAAGCTTGCGCACCTTTTTTGACAACACTTTGGCCCTGTGTAGGGAAAGTTCGCCTCACCGGTTGTAAAGTTATGTTCAGCGAGAGCACAAAACTAGAAAATGCTACAAAGCTAATAAAACATAACATCATGATGATTTCTATCCGAAAGATAAGACTAAACACGAAGGCTAAAATATTTCATAAACCTTCCTTCCATTTATACCATAGTCTCCTTCTAATTAGTAAACCTTCAAAAACCTTACGATAATAGATAAATTTGTAAAATCTCTACCAAGTGTGGCAAGCACGTAAACATCATGTATTCAAGTTCAAAAAATGTGGATATTTTTGTTTATAAACGTTTTCTAGGGAAGTTTACTTAAATCTGTCCCTTCGCCCAAATGCTTTCCACATAGTTCAAGTCGTAGAAATGACGATAAAAAGATGATATGGATTTCGATGGACTTACGGCTATCAAAGTCGGCTATTGGCTATTACAATCAGCGTGATGTGGGAACACATGCACTTACATCGACGTGAAAACTATCATTGTATAGATAAGAAAGTTATACTTTCCTGAGGCAAACTCTGACTCAGTCCACAGTGAATGAAATTTTTCTTGTTGTGTTTTTTGTCGTTGTCGTACTGTGAACCAATTGTGGTATAAGTGTATATTAAGCTTGTGCCTGTGAATGCAACATTCAAAAGGAGTTGAAGTAGACTCAACTTGTTTGTTGTACCGATTGATTCAGAAACACTTTCTGTTTGTCCATCCGTCCGTTCGTCTTATTTGTTTCGTGTTCAAATTGCAATTCGCAATTTTTGCGATATTTTGATAAAATTTAGTACTCGAATGAATTTTGATCCAACGACGAAGGCCATTGAAAATGACTTGAATTGGACCACTTTTTCGACCATTTACCGTATAAACCCTTAGTTTGGAAGATCGTTATCTGTATGTGAATGACTGTACTAAGCGAAGTGATGTAGGGTATTTAATAGTGAGCCGCCGTAGTGTCACTGTAGTGTTTTCACATGTTGTTATTTAAGTTGAATATCGCCTGTACATGTACACAGAAAGCTTTACGCATTTGCTTCTAAGTTCCTCTGATTGCTCTTAAACCTCAATAATCCCATTTTAAAGTCGGTCAAGAGGTTTGCTTTTGCAATTTTTATGATCAAGATGTGAAAGTTGAAGAATACTTGACTTAAATTTGAAATTTTTTTTATTTTTTTTTATTTGCTTTCCTTGAAGAATTTCATTTTATAAATATGCATAACATGCTCTAAAAAATTTCATAAATTCATAAAAATTATGAGCGCAATAAAAAGATTTTTTTTTTTTTTTTTTTTTTATAATTATATATTTATTCTAACCGCACAACAACTCGAAGCTGTTTTGTTGCTATTAAATATGAAATATAATAGAAATGCTAGACAAGTCTTTTCACATAGCTGCAATCTTTCTTTTTTTTGTTTGTTTTTGTCTTTTTCTTCACAAAGCTGCCAAAAAGTATTTGCAGCAATAATTGCAAGAAAAATATTTTCAAAAAAAAAATTCCTAGAGCTGGTGACTTTTTGCTCACTATTATTATTATTATTATAATTATTATTATTATTGTTGTTGTTGTTATTTTGCTTTCATTTCGATTATAGAATGGTGAAAATATTGAACGTGGCTGCGATGAGCGTTGCACGTGCAATCGTGGCGAATGGATTTGTTCACCTCGTTGTATGGGTAAAACATTCAAACGTGGCACCATGATGACCGAACAACCGAATTGCCATGAAATGCCAGTCGAAGATGATGAATGCTGTTCAGCGATGGAGTGCGGTAACGGTAGCGATAGATTTATTGATGAAGAAACATTTCTACCCACGATAGCATCGTTAAGTGCTGCTAATCAAGTGAACGGTAAGTACGAATTTCGATCATTGTTGTTGTTGTTGTTGTTTCTTTTTTCTTTCTTTTTGTCTTTCTTTCTTTATACGTGTAACGATTGTAAAGTAACTTTACTATTAATGAAATAATAGTAGACACAATTTCATTTTTAACTAACCGTCCTTTACTAAAGAGAGAGTATCGTTATTACGCGAACTACTTATTACTATTAAGTATATTATGTGTTGTGTGCTAATTATCATCTAAACTTATGTTTTTAACTCTCTCTCTCTCTCTCTCTCTCTCTTTCTCTTTCTGTTTCTTCCTCTCCCGCTTCCTCTTTTTCTATCTTTCTCTCTACCTCTCTCTCCCTCTTCCTATTCACTTCTTCCTTACACTCCTATTACTCGGATCTTTTCTTCTTCTACTTTCTCTTCTCTTTGTCTACATCTTTCACTCTATTTGGTATGTGTTGTCATATCATGCATTAGCTACCAACTCACAAAAATCACGACTCGACTGTCATTACAATGGCGGTGTTTATAAGTTCCGTGAACGTTTGGAAATTGGTTGCGAACAAATCTGCCATTGTGATGAGGGTGGCGTGATGAATTGTAAGCCACGTTGCGCTGCACGCAATCATACACGGCTCGATAAGTGTGTATTCGTAAAAGATCCCAAGGATGTTTGTTGTCAGTTGCAATTGTGTGATGTTACTTTAGATGATCACGAGCAGACTCCGTCGCCACCGGTTGCCCAAAATGCCATTGGTGACGATAATTATGGCTTTCATGGCTTGCACGATTCAATTAAAGGCGATTGCGAATTTAAGGGTCAATATTACGAGGATGGCAAACAATTCCATGATGGCTGCGAACAATTATGCATTTGTACCAAGCACGGTGTGCATTGCGCTAAACTGCAGTGCCCTTCGTCGTTTGGCTTAGATGTTTTGGATCCGCATTGCTTACGCTGGGAACCAGAACCGTTAGATTTCAAAGCCGAACCGCCCAATTGCTGTCCAGATAGTATGCGTTGCGCAGACAACGGCACTTGTCAATATCATGGTGAAACTTTTGAAAATTGGTCTCAAATACCTACCAATTTAACCGGTAAGTGACTTCTACTACGCTTCCCTCATAACCCAATGACATTAAAGCATTAAAAGTTTCACTTGGCTCTGAACGTAAAATTGTTTAGGTTGTGAACAGCATTGCTATTGCGAGAATGGTAAGATTGAATGTCGTCCCGCCTGTCCTCCCATTTTGGCCGTGCCGCCGGCCGACTTACCCTGTCATCTTGCTCAAGCCCGTCTAGTGCCCATACCGGATGATGAATGTTGCAAACATTGGTCTTGTGCTTCTTCTATTTCAAAACCTGCTAGCAGTAGTACTAGTAATCCAATCAACGATGTCCCTATTAAGCATATTGGAGAGGAGGCGCTAAACGAAAGCTTCTTCGGTCATAATGGTAAATATTTTTTGTAATTTTTCGTTGGCTAATCTTAGCCACGCATGCATGTTGCGTTTAAGTATTTTTTGGTATGTGTTTTATGTTCGGTTTTTCATAGTTAGCTCGCTAATGTGGTTCGAAAAGATATTCCCCTTAGTATGCTTTAGTAGATGCTTAATTAAAGAAGCTTTGCAAAGAATATTTGAAGAGAATTCTTCATTATTTTATTGATTATGCGATAAAATCCCTTATCGATCATATAAAAAGGAATTATATCCAGGAACAAGTTTAGTTACTAACTATGACCTGTTGTTGAACTTGCTAAGATTTACATAAGCCTCGCTGATATGTAGACTTAATTGCTTAGCCTTAACCTAACTTGGTTTTTTTTTAATGTCCCGCTTTATGTTCCAATATCAATACCATTGTAATATTTAATCTTAAGCTTTATTAAATAATTATAGAGAAAACGTCGTACGGCTTTCCAGGGAATACAGTTTTTAAATTCATTTGAATTACGTTATGCTGAAGTTTATAGCTGTTGGCTCGACCTTCTAATTACAAAGTCCACTTTTTTTCAAGCTTTACCTCAGTTGATTATTCTTACTTGTAAATTTCCGCAAACGTTTTATCTTGTACGTGTTACAGATCCTTAACGCACAAGTTTAAGAGTTCATTAGGTTTCTTGCCATAGTTTACCCTGATGCGCGTGAAAATTCAATTTTTCTAACGCTTCTGCATTCTCTTCTATTATTTGATAGATACAATAATAGAGGCATTATTTAAATAATAACAAGTGGAAAGACTATAGCGGGACGCGGTCCACCATTCATTTAATACAATTATTCATATAACGACTTTTCAAAGTAAGATTTTATATGGAAAGTGATTGAAAAGGTGATCCGATTCGATTAATTACCAACTGTGTTCGTTCTTGGCACAAAACCTGTCGACGGCCTAACAAATTCCATCAAAATATCGCAAACGTTGTGACCTATACGCAGAACAAGAGAAAACAAGACGAATAGACAGACAGATAGTTAAGCTAGTATCGATGCAAAAAGAGACTCTGAATCGATCGATATATAAATTGAAGAGCGGTGTACAAAGTGACACCAGTTACACTGGTGATACAAGTTAATTTCCTTCCGGACTAATTTCTGTTGTCCACGAAGTCTGGCCATGTTTTTCGTATACGACTGAAACGAAGTCTTTTATGCTGTCGCCTGTCATCTCAAACTATGCACCGAGATTCGATCAAACTGTTTTGTTCAAATCGAAATAATCCAATTTCTAAGAAAAACAAACAAAATGACTATAGCGGCACGTGGGGACCCAACAGATATCCTATGCATGATGTGGTTGAAAAGTGATCCCATTCGAACTGTGGTACTCGATCTGGGGCCAAAGCGCGCGGAATGCAAATTTCATCTTTCATTTCGCAAGAAACACAAGACCGCCGGACAGACAAACAAGCTTAGAAAATGATTTCGTCGTTATAGTAAAAGACGAACCTATCTCAAGTCCATCTGAGTGCTGCAAACATCAGCAAAAATTTAATATCACAACTGGTGTAGGGTATACAAACTTGATTACTCCTACCTTAAGAGTACTTACTTGAACACCATTGCCTTAAAACTTAACCATTCATTCCCTTCCTATATGAATGTAAACATGCGTATGAGAATCTGAACGTATGAATATATGACTATGAATGTGAATATGAACATGAATATGAATGTGATCATGAATACGAGCCCGAATCCAAACACAATATGGTTGTCGATGTGAATTTGAATATGAACACAAATATGAATACGAATACAAATACGAATATCAATATGAATTTGAATATGAATGTGAATATGAATATAGTTATATAAGAATAGGAACGTGATAATAAATATCAATATGGTTAAGAATAGGGATATGAATATGGGTATGATTATGAAAGTTAGCACGAATACGAATATGAACATAAATGCACGAATATAATGGTAAATATATATGTGATTATCAATAGGCAAAGCCATTGCCATTAAAACGTAGCGTTCCCACTGGTCTTCTTCTGCAAAGCATCAAATCTTTTCTATTTCCAAGTTAGGCTTAGGCGGAGCCTTTGGAACTGCATTCTGTCCATTAAACCGTAGCGTTCCCATTAATATTCTTTTACAAAACATCAAATCCTTCTTATTTCTAAGTAAGATTTAGGCGGGCCTTTTCTAAATATACTCTGACCTCTAAGAATGAGAAAACAGTTCATCAGTAGATATGATCGGAGAGAGTAGGTATTGACTGTTAAAAGGCACCTTTGCCTTAATTGAAAACAAAGAATCGAAACCAGAGTCATTGCAATAAAAACCTTTTTATAGCAAGGATCTTAAAAGTTATACTTTAATCGTGGTGTTCTCCAATCGATCTATGAATGTATGGGAATATGGATCAAGAAATCGATCCAAAGTTGCCAGCTAAACGAATCAGCCGAGTTGTAGATATGTTCAGTAAAATATTTTATACATAAATCTTGAATTTTCTTCTGTCCTTTCGCTTTCTTATCATTAAAAAGCTATCTTCTCTAATCATTTTCAAAATTCTTAACGAATTTCTAACACTCCAACCATAAAATTATTTTTAAGAAACTCTGAGTCATACTCACATACCATATGACTATTTTTTTTCTCTATGTTATTCATTCCGCTCTTCTTATTCTTCTTATGTGTTTAATGTGTTTCTTTTTTATTTATTTTTATGTTTTTTTATTTTTATCAAACAAAAATCGCTTCATTATATAATGTGCACTCATCCATCTAATTAAATACAAACTATGCCTCATTTTATAAAAATAAAATTCAATACCAACTTTCAAACACTATGCAACGTGTAAATATATGTGTAAAAAAAAAAAAAACAAAACCAAACAACAACAATGTAATATGTGAACCGAATAAATGTCATCGTTTGAAGTGGATACGAAAAAAGAAGAAGATTACAATGCAGTGGTCGGCAAGCCTGACGATAAAAAAACCGCTAATGCTTTTTATCCCACATTGGATGGTAAACCGCCCAAGGTAATGGCGACTCAATTCGCTTACGACCAGAAACCAGAGAAACCTTCTAAAAAACCATTGCAAGTGGTTAAGCAAAAAGACGTTAAATACGACGTTCATGAGCCTCAAGTGGAAGACGATTTACCGCATCCAGTTTTAGGTCCAGGTTTTATACCATTGCCGCCACGAGAGGGTGCCAAGGGCCAAGCAATACCGGGCACCTCGCCTTATGACACGGTGAATTACAATCAAAATCTAGCACCACATCATCCGGGCCCAGGGGCCTACGGGTTTTATCATCATAATGATCCTTTTAGTCCTTACGAACCATACGAAATCAATCCAAACGGTATACCACAAGGTAAACCACCCGCACCTACTAGTCAATCAGATCTATTCAATATTATTGGAGCTGGAGGTGGGGTGGCAGGCAAGCCAGGTCAAGGTAACCCTCTGCCGCCACATGTACGCATAGAACACATACTGCAGCATTTACAACAAAATCAGCATCCACCAAATCCTGCTTTAGTGCATATACCGCCCTTCAATAATGTTAGCGGAGCTCCGATGCACACGCAATATGTGCCTATAGTTCATAGTGGACTGCCGCCACCACCCCATGGTATTGCAATTGTCGACGGAACTCCGGTAAACTATAATGGATATCCGGTATTACCAGGAGTTGGGCCTGTTGCCACTCATCTAAGTCAAAATAGTTATCCTAATTCATCGACATCATCGAAAGGTCTGGCTACAGCGCCCGCAGAACAAGCTACCGCCGCTTCAAAAACTCATAAAACAGGTTGACTATTAAAAATCCTCTCTTTTTCTTTCTCCCTCTCTCTCTCTCTCTTTTTTTTCTCTCTCACGCTCTCTCTTTTTCCTGGTCGTTGTAACCCATACAAATGTAGAAACTCTAACAGTAGATTTCAAATAGCTTCCCATTATTTCCAGGTTATGGTTGCACAAGCTAAACTAGACTATCGTGTATTATTAGACGCATTATCCTATCCCTATTATTTTATATTGTTTTTGTTTCGCGAATAATATGTTTGTTCTCTATCTTTGATAACAGGTCTTAGCAATATTCAGCCCGACATTGAAGTACATACCTTGGAAGCTATTGATCCACGCACCGTGCGAGTAGTGTTCACTGTTCCCCAAGTCTATGTTAATTTACATGGCCGTGTTGAATTGCGTTACACCAACGGACCCAGTAACGATACAACTAAATGGGAGCAGCAAATATTCGCCCCGCCCGAAGATCTTATAGCCACGTCACAAATGGAATTCGATTTGCTGGGCTTAGAACCGAATTCTCCGTATAAAATAAAAATCACTTTGCTTTTGCGTGATCTAAATTCGCAACCGACGAGTTTAGTGTATACAGTACGAACTCCAGCTGAACGCAGTATAACACCACCTCCCCCACCTACCGATTATCGACCAGATTTCCAAGATATGCTTAAAAATATAGACGATCCCGAATTAAATGTGAGTGAAAGTAATTCAACGTGGCTGCACATAACCTGGAAGAAAATTTCCGATGATCAGCTAGAATATATAGACGGCATACAATTGCGTTATAAGGAATTGAGTGATTTAATCTATTCCTCAAGTCCTTTAATACATCGTTCCTTAACTTCTTATACCATAGAAAACTTGCAACCTGATACTGGCTATGAAATTGGCCTATACTATATACCTTTACCCGGGCATGGTGCTGAATTAAGGGCTGGTCATATGATTAAAGCGCGCACTGGTCCAAAAATGGATGCTTTTGCTTTTGAGGTTATGGTGAATGTAACTAAAATTAAAGCTCAAAGTGTTGAAGTATTGTGGAACGGTGTCCCCTATCCAGAAGATAAATTTGTTAATATTTATCGAGCAATTTATCAAAGTGACTCGGGCAAAGAGGACTCGAGTGTCTTTAAAGTAGCCAAACGTGATAGTACCACCGGTACGCTAATAATGGATTTGAAACCGGGTACCAAATATCGTCTATGGTTGGAAATGTACATGACTAATGGAAAAATTAAGAAGAGCAACGTAGTAAATTTCATTACAAAACCGGGAGGATCGGCAGTACCGGGAAAAACGGGTAAGTTTAACTTATTCTTTATAACATAGAAAAAAATTTACTTAAAAACAATGAAATTTTCATAAAAACAAGGTTTAAATGCTTACCAAAGGATTGAAAGCTTCATGGATGGTATAGGTAATTGAATTTTATTTTGTAAAATTATTTTAAACTCATTTTTATCGAAGGACGATGCTTGCATTTTTTTTCCGCCTTCTATCTCTCACCTTTTCGGCTTTTGTCCCTCAAACTTAATGTATATTCTGGGACTCCAAACTGCCGCATAACTTAGTGAATAACATGTGCGACGCAAATGGAGCTTGGTCGTGTGGGTGTAGTTACATTGAACACACTAAAGTAAAGTAGAAGGTAGTCACTAGGCGCGTCCTATCTCCCCTGCCCGACATCATTGCGTTTGGCTGTCACCGTGTTTATGCACATCTAGGAAACATAGCCTGAGGAACCGGTCTCTAAAAAAAAAAACAAGAAATGTAATGTTATATTCTTATGTGGGCTTATCGAAGAAAGAATTTTTTTTCTTTGTACACGTTAAGTATCCAATCCACGGTGTATCCAGTTTGATCCCAATATCTTTAGTACTTCACTAAATGCGTTCCTTTACTTTAAGCCTGAAAAATGAGTTCTTCGATTCGTCTCTGTCTTTTCAACTGGCCCAAGGCAATATTCTCGGCCGACTTTTGGTGTCCTTAGAATTACCAAAAAAGAAAGGAGCTGTATCAAGCGATTGTGGAACAGTCCAAATGGAATTTCTAATGAAAAAGCCTCGAAGAAACATAATACAATAAGAAAAGCAGCATCAACGTGATGCAGTTCTCTTCAGTAATGGTACAATAAATTCAAGGCTTCTCGAACATCTTGAAGCCTTTTGTAGCAAAGGACATGTGATGACAATCAAAGTGCGCTTCGGTTTTGCAATGATCTTATCATTTACCCTTTGATCCTTTTATGTGAAGCATACGACAATTGTCGTCAAGGAGCTGAAGAATATGGTGGTTGAGGCAAACTTTCGAACTCGTTGGACTTGTGACACATGACTTTTTAATTCTGTGTCGCTTCAGGCTTAAGTTCTCCTTCAAAATAGTAAACGTCCTCTTTTTGATGCCTTCAAGTTTTCAGCTATCTTTCAACACTTAAAATTTCGATTATCAAGAATAGTTTTCGACATTTTTTTGTATGCTCTCTAGTCCTGTGTTTTTGCATAGCTAGCTTCATCTGTTTAGCATAGTTGGCCTGGTTTAATTCGCTTAGTAAAACACCGACATATTTTTGTTATCGACAGAGAACGATTATCAGAAACACTTCTCAAGCATGCTTTTGATGGAGTCAGTATCTGTAGTTGCTGGACGGCTGCTGGGGTCATCATCTTTCAAACCAAAATTGCCAGCTCTAAATTTCTAATAGCTAATAGCCGTAGTACCGTTCCCATAAACGATGCAAATCTTGTCTGCAGTGTCCCTAGCACTACACTTTTTTTTGAAGCAATGAAGCGTAACATGGCGTAAATGCTTCCTTTGGCTACCCACATTAAACGGCGTAGAAAAAGTCTTTAAAAGAGAGTTTACCGGAACGTACCTTGAAATAACATGTGAGCCAATTGAAATCAATGCCATAAATGTAGATAAGCCCGCACGTCTACAAACATAGCCAACTCGAGGTCATATATAAACTTTTGGGACACCCCCATTCATAACGATTGCGCCAAATCGAGGCACATCCGCAGAGATAGATACACCGCATAGAGACTTTCAGTATTTTAAAACTTTTGAAGAAAATTAACTTCAATATACATTTACCTCATTCAACGAGTAAAAGTCAGTACAAAAGATCAAATAAAAATATGAACGACTTTTGTAGTTTTCCTAGAAAAATTCAAAGTGTATCAAAATGACGCACCCCGTAAACCTAGTGTTAATTACCGGACTGCTTGTTTTTTGTCAAACGGCGCCTTCCGGCATGCACGCCCAAACGTATTCAAACATATCATATCTAGTATTTATTGAGGAATTTTGTTCAACCAGCTATTTCAGGGAATAATCAAGCACGATAGTCCTTAGTGATCGTTATAGTAATGCTACCCGCATAGAAGTCCTTAAATTTATTCGCTTCGCATTATAGTACAGTAGGGTAGCATCTTCTTTTAAGATTCCTAAGTTACGTCTCATCTATGGAGCATCTTTCATATGCGCTAGATCTCATCCTCATCTGTTTTTGAATCACAAAAAGTGGATGCTCTCCCAGTGATCTTGCCAAATTGCAAGATTGTAACGACTCGCCTCAATCTGTTTTAATCAGTTTTCATTTGTTTAATACAACTCTGTCAGTTTTTTTTATAACACTATATATATAAATATATATATATATTATATCTTTATGTACTATATTTACAACAAGTTGGTAAAAGTTGTTAAGCAATAACTCTCACTCTCACACGGTAGGTGCAAATATTGTAAGCCTAATTAAAGCTTAAGTTTTCCTTTCGTCTCTTTTAAGTGATATTAATTTTATATATTAAATAAAATTAATTATAATTTTGCATTCTTTTTCATATGATAGGTAAACTTTTAACGGCTGGGCTTGATCAGCCGGTGGGTGACTATTATGGACCTTTGGTAGTGGTTTCGGTTGTCGCCGCTTTAGCTATAATGTCAACTTTAGTTTTATTATTAATATTAACCAGAAGGCGCGTCCATCAAACGGCCACTATAACGCCACCGCGTAAAAGTGATGCTGCTTATGACAATCCATCCTATAAAGTCGATATACAACAAGAAACCATGAGTATGTGTTAATTTGTAATAAAAAAAAAAAAAAAAAGTTTATATAATTTTCCTTTTTTTTAGATCTGTAGCAATTCAATGGTATTACGAATCAAAACCAATAGACGAAAATTTTTGAATTCAAACTATTTCGCTAAACTCAAAAACCAATCCTTCAGCTACTAGTTATGTGTGTGCATGTGTATGTAAGTGTATTTAATAGTTATAGAGAACAAAAAGAAAAAAAAAAAGACTAAAAATTTTACTGTAAATATAATAAAAAAAAAAAAAAAACGTGACTAAAAATTGGAACGAAAAATGAAAGTAAAAAAAATTATATACAATATTTTTTTTTTTTTAAAAAGTGCCAGAAATACTTAACACTTATGAAATATATACGGAAATTATGAAAATTTGGCCTTAAATAAATAATTAAAATGAAATATTATATTTAAAAGCCATTATTTAGAAATGTTTGCATATAATAATATACTTATAAATATATATATATAGGATATTAATATATATATATATATAATATTATGTAATCTGTATTCAATACTTTTTTTTTTTAATTTTGTAAATATTTTTTTTTTTTGTTTTGGAGCAACAGCGACACGTCTTTTTTCCATAGCTTAGGATGAAATGTATTCATACTGTTAGGTAAAATGAAAACAATAATTTATTAACACTTTGTTTTTCTTTTTTAATTAAACTTTCATACGCTTTTTTCAAAATTTTCCCTTGTTCTTTTTTTTTTTTTTTTGTTAGCTTTACTTTTGCTCTAGTTGACTAAGAAAATATTGAATTAACTCTAATTTTAAGTTTTAAATATAAAAAATATATGAAAGAAATAAAAAAAAATTTTAAAGAAAAATTTAAAAAAATTTAAAACA